CCAGAGCGAGCCAGGGCGCGCTCCTGGACGTTAAAGGCGGGCCCGTCCAGGAAGACTTCCCCACGAAGAGACTCGCCCGCTCGGGGCCCTGCGGTGTGGACCATCCGCATCGAGAGGGGCAGCGGGTGGTCGCTCCGCGGGTCCTTGACCAGGCAGCGCGACCAGATGGCGTGCTCGACGTCCGCCTCCAGCGGGCCGCCCGAGTTGAGGACGTAGTTGCTGTTCTGGTCGTTCAGCCTCCACTGCCTGCGTAGACATGTCCAGCGCAGGGCAGGCCCAAACCAAGTGCCTGACTGTTCCCGGCTCCGCGCAGCCAGCAGGGCAGCGCCCCGAGCTCGCGAGCGGGGGCTCGGCTGCTGCGCGCCGCTGGACTGGCCACATGCACCCGACGACGGCATTCCTTGCCGCCGACCACCTCGCCGCCAGGTCGGAGGTGGCGTGGGCGCGCCCGAGGTGGTGCCGGAGCCCGTTGACGGCAGCGCCCCCGCCCAGGTGGCCGAGCGCGGGGTCTCGGCCAGCAACGTCCCTCCAGAGCTTCCTGATGAAAGCCGCCTGCGCTTCGCGGCGCAGCGCGTGCCTGTCGATCTCCCCCAGGTCGATGTTCCCCCCGAGGTCGTCCGTCCAGCGCTTGATGCGGTCGGCCTTCCAGCCGAGCCGCAAGGCGGCGATGGCCGCAGCGGCCGCAGGCCCGTGGCCCGCCATGTCCTCGGGGCCAGAGGCGGTCAGACGGCCGCGCGCAGCCCCGAAGGCATAGCCGAGGGCCCTCTTGCCCTGCTCCCTGACCAGCTGGTTCTCGGCCGCCTCCCTCCGCGAGGGGGCCGCCGCCACCGCCTTGCCGCCCAGGCCGTAATCGACCCCGAGGTTATTGGCCTCCTTGGCGCGCGCGAAGGTGCCCTCGTCCTTGTTGTACCCGATGAGGCGGCGCTACTCCTCGGTGGCGCCACTGCGCCGATGCCCCGCTCCAGGGCCCTCGCGGCGTCGCCCGCGGCGCGCCCGAGCAGGTCGCCGACCTCCGCCTGCGAGCCCGTCTGGCGCAAGGAGCAATCGTCGAACCTGATGGCCAGTGAGACCTCCTTGTAGTGCGTCGGTGCTCCGAGTCGATGATCATCGCGCAGCGCCTCAGGGGCTCGCCCGCGCGGGCGCAGCCCGCCACCAGGCCTGTAGCTAGGTGGGGGGCCTCGGAGACCACGCCATCTACAGCGATCCTCCTTGGGCCCTCGTAGATGCCGAGGGCGGCCGCAGCCAGCGCGATCGGGCATCCTTCGGCTTCGTCCCTCCTCTGGGCCACGGCCAAGGAGATCACGTCGTAGGCCTTCCAGAGGTCCAGGAGCACGCCGCCAGCGCAGATGCCCCTACCGTCAGCCGAATCATTGTGCAAGGCTTGCCACCACACTGCCTCCTCGGTGGCCTTGCCTCGCCCCCCCCCCCCCCCCCAGAAGTTGGCCTTCGCTTCGGGCGGGAGGTGGGCCTCCCAGGCGCGGCTCTCGCGCTGCCTGATTCTGGCCCACTACCTTGTGGGCCAGATGAGGAGGCCAATGGGGCGGAAGCCGCCCTTCGGCTTCGGCAGCACGACCAGGTGCACCAGCCTCGCCGCCGCGGGGAATCCGCCGAGGCGCTCGCGCGTCTTGCATAGGTCGATGAGGCACTCCACGCACTCGTCACTGAGCGCTGCGATGAGCCTCGGGTTGAATTGGTCCGCGCCCACGCCAGTCCGCCACGCGAACTGCTCGGCGGCGCGCCTGGTTCGCTGGAGGTCTGGTTTCCCAGCGGCGGCCCAGGGGCGGACCTGGGGGCAACGGCCTGCGGGCTGGCAACGTCACTCAGCGTCCAGACCTTGGGGCCAGAACCTGGCTGGCCACCGCGTCGCGTCCTCGACGATCTCGTCTGCCAGCCATCCTTGCGATCCCCTGCGGTGGGCGCGGGCGGCGCCTCCACCCTCGCTCATGGACTTCGCGATCCAGTCAGCGAAGCCCTTGGCCTGGGCGTCCCTGAACGCGTCCGCGAGCGTGGCAGCCTTGTGCTCGAGCGCCACGGCCCAGGCCTCCCTGGCGGCCGCGTCCCCGGCGGGCGCACCCCTGGCCGCGGTCCGCCAGGCAGGGGGCGCGCCTTGGCGGATGGTCGCGGGCAGCGCCCCCGCAGCTCCTCGCCTGAGCCACAGCGCCAGGGCCAGCGGCGCGCAGGCGCCCGCCAGGGTCCGCGGGGGGCTTGGGCCACTTGCGGTGCGCGAGGCAACCTCGCCCCGCCAGCTGGTCGCACTCTAGCGGGTCGATGTGGAGATGCCGTGGCAGCTCCCCCTCGACATGCCCCATGATGCCCGTGTAGGCAAGGTCCAGCTCCTCCTGGGTGCCGGCCATCTCGCAGAGCGCCTGGGCGGAGATCGCCACCCTGCCTGAGCGCGAGTGCCACCGCGCGGTGAGGCTGAACGGCGGGGGTGTCGATGGCGCGGCGCCCCTCGATCCTGTGCGCGAGGTCGAGGGACGCAATGAAGACGTCGAGCTCGGATGGCGGCGCGCCGCCGCGAAGTGGCAGGTGCCCAGGCCCTCGTAGTTGCCGATGACCTGGCCGCGCACGCCCTCCAACCAATGCCGACCCGCGACCGCGAAGACATCGGGGCTGACGTCGAAGCCGCCGCCGACAACGAACGACCTGCCTGAGGCGCGCAGCGTGCGCCCAAGAGCGCGCAGCACCTCCCAAGATGTGGCCCCGAGGTGTTCGTTCTCGAGGTAGATGCTGGCCGCCAGGAAGCCGCCCCTCAAGGGCCCCTCGATGTGGAGGCAGGTGCAGCGCCCTGGGGGGACGCACTGGGGGCTGCCCCCATCGGCGGCGGCGCCGCGGAGTGGCTGGGCTGCCCCTCTGCCAGCCCACGCGACAACGCCCGTGCCGCCCGAGGCGGCCCTCCTCAACCTGCGCGTCTAGGCTGCCAGGGCGGCTGGCGCCTGGGGTCAGAGTTCCACGTAGCCCCTGGCGGCGCAGCCACTGCTCCTCACGCGTGGCCCCCTCTGAATGGAGGTGGGTCTCCTGCACCGGCCAGCGCTGCCCCGCATGCGCTCCTCGCGCGAGCGCCTGGGCCCTGTCCCGGGGCTGGCCCCACATGGTGGCGAGGGCCCCCCAGCCAGGTCCGTTTGCCGAGACGATTGTGAAAGGCTGTCCGCCTCTGCGGCCGCCGCTGCGGCCGTTGCTGCGAGGGCGCCTCTGTGGCTGCACCCTGCTGGCCGTCGCCCGCCCTGCGCGCGCGGTCGCCCCTCGCTGCCTGCGTTGAGCTCCGCGAAGCGCTCGGCTGACAGCGGAGGCTGCTTCGGGGCTGCAGCGGCCGATGGCTGGCAGGGCGCGGCGGCGGCTGCGCCAGCGGCCGCGGCTGCCGCCCCGCCAGCGCCAGGCTGCCCAGCGCCGTCGCCAGCAGGCCGATCATCATTTTCAGCCCGCTCGGCCCCCCTGCCCATGCGCCTCTTCTTGGTCTTGGCGCGAAGCTCCTCTTGCGTCTTCTTGAGGCCCTCGCGGCGCTTCTCGGGCTTTTCCGCTGCGGGCTCGAACGTGGCCTCCACCTTCCTCACGAAGTCCTGCTTGGACTTCTCGAGCGCGCGGCCCCAGCCCGCCTGCCCCTGCTCCGCGAGGGCGGCGCCGTCGGGGTCGAAGGCGGCCCCGAGCTCGAAGCTGAGGCCCTCGCGGCCCTCGAGGGCGGAGGAGAGGTTGACCTAGACGGGGGCCTCCACCGCGCCCTTGCCCCGCTTGCCGAGGCAGCCCTTGGCGCGCGCGATGGCCTCGGTCTGCTCCTCGAGGGCCCTGGCGTGCTCCACCGCGAGGGCGCCCTCCTCCTCCTGGCACTTCGCGAGCCAGGCGCGGGCCTCTTCGGCGGCGTCCACGGCCTCGTTGAGGGCCTTGGTCGCCCGCCGCGCAGCTCCCCAGGCGCTGGGCGGCCTCGTCTGGCAGCTCGAGCTTGGCCACCGCTAGCTCCGGTCGCTGCAGCGCCGCCTCGAGGCCCGCGAGGGCCTTGGAGGCGGACTCGGGGAGCTCCTACTTGCGCCGCCTGAGGGTCTCCAGCAGGGTCTCCTTGCGCGCCGTCCTGCTGTCGGAGCGTTTCCTGGCCTCTCGACGCGGTGGTCGGCTGGCGGTCCGCCCTCGGGCATCAGCGGCATCGGCGCCGCCCTCCTTGTCGGCCCAGGCCCCGTCGGCCGACCTGGCTGGCGAGACGGCAGGGGCGAGGCCGTGGCCGCAGTGGAAGCAGGTCGAGCGGTTCTTCCACGCCCACTTGCAATGGTACTTCGAGCACTTGTGGGAACCGTCTATTGGCCCCCGCCGTCCATTGCCACCCGCGGCGCTGACGGTGAGTGAAAATTTGACACTGGGCGCCGCTGGGCGCTGGGAATGGCGCCTGAACCAGCTGAAGGAAGCACGGGGGCTATGAACCGCCCCCTCGGCTGCATCCAAGCTCCAAGCGCCAGGGGCGCGTTTGGAACTTGAACCAAAACGGCGACGGATGATGATGATGATGATGATGATGATGATGATGATGATGATGATGATGATGATGATGATGATGATGATGATGATGATGATGATGATGATGATGATGATGATGATGATGATGATGATGATGATGATGATGATGATGATGATGATGATGATGATGATGATGATGATGATGATGATGATGATGATGATGATGATGGTGGTGGTGGTGGTGGTGGTGGTGGTGGTGGTGGTGGTGGTGGTGGTGGTGGTGGTGGTGGTGATGATGATGATGATGATGATGATGATGATACTTGTGGTGATGATGCTGGTGATGCTGATGCTGATGATTGTGGTGTTGATGGTATTGATGATGATGGTGATGATGGTGGTGCTGATTATGATTATGATGATGCTGCTTTTGGTGATGATGATGATGCTGCTGATGCTGATGCTGATGTTGATGATGATGACGGTGATGATGATGGCCACGAGCGTGATTGGTGACGGTTATGTGAGGAAGAAGAGGTGATGCCCATTACGACGACGACGCTGATTATTGTACTTGGGAGGGACACGTATGTAAATGGGCAATCGAAGGGCAATCGAAGACCATCAAACACCGATCGAGCCCTGTGATCGTCTTTTATTCATTGTTTTGTCGATCGGCGCGGGCCCCCCCCCTATGGAGTAGAGCTTGGCCGTTTTTTGGCGCCTGTTTCGAGGGGGTGGGGTCTCCCCCAGAGGCCGCACTCTTTCAAGCAGTCGCAGTAAGCAGAGGTCCGGTTCCAGACCCCCCTTCCCCCCCCTTTTCCGCCCAATGACGAAACGCCGGTTAACAAAAAACTCACCAATGGAGTCGAAAAACACCCTCCCGACAGCCGGGCGGTGTCGCTGTTTCGCGGCGTCCCGCGCGAGGCTCTCCGATGTGTGCCCACAGCTCGGGGCGGCGGAGCTCCTTGTCGGGGCTGGCCCTTGTTGGTTCGAGGAGCAGTGGCGTGGCGAAGCGTCCTTGCTCGCCTAAAGGCCCACCAAAGAATGTTTTGAGAATTGCACGAAATGTTCTTAGAACACTTACGGCTGAGACTGTCTTGTTTGAACACGTCGGGGTCATGTTTTAAGAATTGCTTGTGGTTCTTAGCGCATTGCGGGGTTTTGAACATATGTCGTGGTAGGCCTCAGGAATGCTGGGACGGTCGGTCCCTGCTCAACTGGTGGTGGTGTCGCCTGCGCTGCCCCGGGTGCACCTTGCCCCCCTTTTCGAGCACGCCGCGGAGCGCAGCTCCAGACTCTCGGACCGCGTGGCTCGCGCGCTGCAGTGGTGGCCTCGCTCTCTCGAGTGCGTTCCGTCCTGGGCTGTGCTCTGCGCGGGGCCAGTGCTATGATGTTCCAACCCACTTGCGCCTGGATCACCAGAAAGAGCTTGGAGCACCGATGAAGCACCGAGACTGGAGGGCTTTCACGTGTCGGGTTTGGGAGGCGATACTCTTTCGACACGGTTTCGGTACTTTTCTGGGTGCTCGAGATTATCTCTTGGAGTGCGTCCTTCAGCAAGATGGGGGCAACATCAGGCCAGTGGCTCGCGCCACAGGAGACTCCCGTCCGTCCTCGGACCACGGGGGAGCGCAGCGGGCGGCGGGCCTGCGTCGGGCGGGGCGGGGACGAGCCCCGGGCGAGGGGGAGGGGGCTACCGCGCGTCGTTGACGACGGCAACGGCGGCGGCGACTGTCAGGCGATCGAAGACGTAGATCCAGGGGGCGTGGCTTAGCGTGAAGTCGGGCCTGTCCCTCTGCAGGAGGAATGGTCAGAAATAGTCAGAAAATAGTCTGGGGCCGATTTTTGTTGAACAATGTCTGTACATTGTGTTTTGCATCTTTTCAGTTTTTCCTCCAGGATCCGCCTGTAGGAGGGCATGCCCGAGCGAAGATTAGCGACGGGTCCCGTTTCCGATGGAAAATCGCGGGTTTCCGCCGCCGAGCGAGGCGGCAATGGTCGCATTTTGGGGAGGGCACCGCCCCCGATCCGTGGATATGGCGACCGCGCGCCAAATCCATGGATCGCCAATACATGTCTGCGCGCCCCTGAGGGGAGGGGGGGGGACTGCGGCGTCGTTGACGACGTCATCGACGACGGCGACTGTGCGCACGATGATGACGATGACAATGATGACAGCGATGGAAACATATCTTTGAATGTGTCGCCGCGGGAAAAAAGGAAAGCGCGATGTCTGCTGCTGGACTGGACGACTGGGGTGGGAACACACGCCCGATGCCCCCTGGGCAGGAGGTCCATCCAGAAACGCCACCTCCACCAGCACTTCCGCCAAGAGAAAGCAGTCCATAGTGGCCAGCATTCGGGCTGTCGTCACGACATATGCCCGCGTCGCAGTTGACGGGGTTGTCAGATGCGCCCGCGCGAGAGGCGGCAGAATGGGGAGGCGGGAGGACCGCGGGTAAAGGCTCGAAGCTCCGGGGATCCAGGCTCGAAGCTCTGAGGCTCGAGATTTCGAGGATCAGGGTTGTGAGGCTCGAGCATCGAGGCTCTAGGTTTAGAGTGTCGAGATTTTGAGGATCAAGCTTGGAGGTTCGAGAAGCGAGGTTTGAACGTTCTAGGCCTGCTTGGGCCTCTTGGGACCCTCCAGAGACCTCCGGACGCTTCCGGTGCCCCCTCACCACCTTCGAGGTCCCCCATCCCCTCCATCTTTGTTTCTCTCTCTCTCTCTCTCTTCTTTCTTCCCCTCTCTCTCTCGTCGTCTTCTTTCCTCCCTCCTTCCTTTCGGCTACTCTATCCGACTCGATCCTCCGTGCCATCCTTTTCGACATTGCCATCAGCTCCAGAGGTGTGCGTCGTCGTCCTCCTCCTCCTTCTCCCTCCTCATCCCTCTGCAGGCATGGAGTGTGCAAGGCCACGCTTGCATGCACACGTCTCTGGTTCGAAGGCTGCCTGGCTGCATCGGAGGTAGGCGGAGAAAACCCCGGGGAGGAGTCGGAGGCCACCAGCGGCGGCGCTACTTCGTCAAGGGCTTCTGGAACTGGCCCGGCGCCGATCGAAGTGGACGAGCGCCCCGGGGGGGAGGCGGACGGGCACCTCTCCGGGCGGCGCGGAAGCAGAACAGTCAGAGACGTGTGGCCTCCCCCTCCTGCTCCCCTTCCTCCCCTCCTCTTCTCGTCCTCGTCCTCCTCCCTTTTTGACATGGCCAGACCTTACGCTTACGCGTGTTGCGTTCTTGAAGTGCCGCAACACAGAAATGGAAGTGCAGATGCCTCGGCGAAAAGGTACTGGCGGACGCAGCGGCAAAGGCGGTAAAGAGAGACAGTGAAAAAAGCGTAGGTAGAATAGTAGGCGCCCGCCAGGTAACGCAGCTTGTCCGAATAAGGGGGCCGAGCGGTCATTCATTTTCCCTGGGTGCGTGGCCGCAGTGGGGATCCGTGGTGGGGATTATGCTTGTTGTTGAATATTATTACTTCTAAAGAATAATTATTGTTGGGCCCCCTGGTGCACGCCCCCCCCGCCGCGCCTAGGCCGCAGCCACGTTTTCATCATTTTCGTGAGGAAGCCTCAGGTAAAACGATGTGATCCAGATCCGGTTGTTTTGTTGTAATCCGTTTTCCCTTGCAAAAAACACTATAAAATGACATTTCTTGTTCTAATATAATCAAATTTCAAGAATCCCTTGCAAAAAATAAGGTAAAGTGGACATTCGCGCGCGCAAGACGAAATCCTTCCAAAAGCTTAGTGTTCGGAGCGATTTTAACATAAAAACATCAAAAAACCAATGGTTTTTCAACAAAAAAATGTCAAAATCTCATCCCGCGCGCTCTTGCGGATTCGTAGGAAACCCAACACTTTTTAAACATTTCTGTCAAACGGGCTTTTGCGAGCAACTTTTTCGAACTTCTGCGACAACGGTTGCGCACCTGCCAGGGCCATCATCCCTGTCAAATAATACCATGCGGGACACATTCGTTTTTTCTTCGCGCGCGCACGCCGAAATCTCCAAAAACCATTGGGCTTCTTAAGAATTTTAGCACCGCGCATCATAAAATCACACGAATCGCACCGTAGGTCCTCGAAAAACACCTGCACGACTTTTCAAAATTTCTACAGTGTTCTCACCAGTGCCAGGGTTTTCAGAACTTCTGTGGAAGGCTTCACAACTTTTGTGGGTTAACAAGGCTTAACAACTTCTGTGGGTGTACGAACGTAGGCTTAACAACTTCTGTGGGTGTGTACTCCACGCCAGTGTAGTAGCCACGGTCGTCCGCAGGCCACGAAGTGAAGTGTCCGAACGTCATAGGGCGGGAAGCTGGGTGTGGGTGGTGGCGAAGAGTCGTGTGGATATTTGGTAGAGCTTGCACTGCCCCCCCACAAAGTGGGGGTATTGGCTGGCGTCGCATGAAAACCCTGGCACTGGTGAGAACACTGAGCGTTCGGGTAAAGTGATTGTTGTTGTTGTTGTTGTTGTTGTTGTTGTTGTTGTTGAACATTATTACTTCTAAAGAATAATTATTGTTGGGCCCCCTGGTGCACGCCCCCCCTGCGCCGCCTAGGCCGCAGCCACATTTTCATCATTTTCGTGAGGAAGCCTCAGGTAAAACGATGTGATCCAGATCCGGTTGTTTTGTTGTAATCCGTTTTCCCTTGCAAAAAACACTATAAAATGACATTTCTTGTTCTAATATAATCAAATTTCAAGAATCCCTTGCAAAAAATAAGGTAAAGTGGACATTCGCGCGCGCAAGACGAAATCCTTCCAAAAGCTTAGTGTTCGGAGCGATTTTAACATAAAAACATCAAAAAACCAATGGTTTTTCAACAAAAAAATGTCAAAATCTCATCCCGCGCGCTCTTGCGGATTCGTAGGAAACCCAACACTTTTTAAACATTTCTGTCAAACGGGCTTTTGCGAGCAACTTTTTCGAACTTCTGCGACAACGGTTGCGCACCTTGTCAAATAATACCATGCGGGACACATTCGTTTGCGCACCTGCCAGGGCCATCATCCCTGTCAAATAATACCATGCGGGACACATTCGTTTTTTCTTCGCGCGCGCACGCCGAAATCTCCAAAAACCATTGGGCTTCTTAAGAATTTTAGCACCGCGCATCATAAAATCACACGAATCGCACCGTAGGTCCTCGAAAAACACCTGCACGACTTTTCAAAATTTCTACCCGCGCGCGCTGTCCTAACAACTTCTGTGGGTGTGTACTCCACGCCAGTGTAGTAGCCACGGTCGTCCGCAGGCCACGAAGTGAAGTGTCCGAACGTCATAGGGCGGGAAGCTGGGTGTGGGTGGTGGCGAAGAGTCGTGTGGATATTTGGTAGAGCTTGCACTGCCCCCCCACAAAGTGGGGGTATTGGCTGGCGTCGCATGAAAACCCTGGCACTGGTGAGAACACTGAGCGTTCGGGTAAAGTGATTGTTGTTGTTGTTGTTGTTGAACACTATTTCTTCTTAAGAATAATTATTGTTGGGACCCCTGGTGCACGACCCCCCCGCCGCGCCTAGGCCGCAGCCTCATTTTCATCATTTTCGTGAGGAAGTCTCAGGCAAAACGATGTGGTCCAGATCCGGTTGTTTTGTTGTCCCCCGTTTTCCCTTGCAAAAAATAAGCTAAAGTGGACATGTCCTTGTTCTAATATAACCAAACTTCAAGAATCCCTTGCAAAAAATAAGGTAAAGTGGATATTCGCGCGCGCAAGCCGAAATCCTTCCAAAACCTTAGTGTTCGTAGCGATTTCAACATAAAAACATCAAAAAACCAATGGTTTTTCAAAAACAAAGTGTCAAAATTTCATCCCGCGCGCTCTTGCGGATTTGTCGGAAACCCAACACTTTTTAAACATTTCTGTCAAATGGGCTTTTCCGAGCAACTGGTTCACGTGAGTCGAACTTCTCCAACAACCGTTGCGCACCTGCCAGGGCCATCATCCCTGTCAAATAATACCATGCGGGACTCATTCGTTTTTTCTTCGCGCGCGCACGCCGAAATCTTCAAAAACCATTGGGTTTCTCAGGAATTTTAGCACCGCGCAACATAAAATCATACGAATCGCACCGTAGGTCCTCGAAAAACATTTGTACGAATTTTCCAAATTTCTACCCGCGCGCGCCTCACCAGCCAAAGCAGTCCACATCATTGTAGGACCTACAGACAGTACCGGCGTCGTACTGGTTTACCGTGGTTTCCTATTCTAGCGTCAGGAACACGTTGCCACCAAAAACCAGTACAGGTGTCCAGTGTTGGAACAGGGGGAAAAGTCGTATACTAAGCTAGCGTCCAGAAAATGTTACCACAACAAGTCACTGTACCCATGCGCCAGTGTAGTAGCCACGGTCGTCCGCAGGCCACGAAGTGAAGTGTCCGAACGTCATAGGGCGGGAAGCTGGGTGTGGGTGGTGGCGAAGAGTCGTTTGGAAATGTGGTAGAGCTTGAACCGGCCCCCCCACAAAGTGGGGGTATTGGCGGGCGTCGTATGAAAACCCTGGCACCGGTGAGAACGGAGTGTCCCCACGTGCTAGTAATTGTTGTTGTTGTTGTTGTTGTTGTTGTCGTCGTCCCCCCCGCGACCCGCCCGCGACCCACCCGCGACCCACCCCGCGACCCACCCCGCGACCCACCCCGCGACCCATCCCGCGACCCATCCCGCGACCCACCCCGCGACCCATCCCGCGACCCATCCGCGACCCACCCCGCGACCCACCCGCGACCCACCCGCGACCCACCCCGCGACCCACCCCGCGACCCACCCCGCGACCCACCCCGCGACCCACCCCGCGTCCCACCTGCGACCCACCCGCGACCCATACGCGACTCACCCGCGACCCATCCGCGACCCAGCCCGCGACCCAGCCCGCGACCCACCCGCGACCCACCCCGCGATCCACCCGCATTGCTTTAACGAAAGAATCGGCGCCTGCGGCGGGCGTACTGCATAATTCTTAAAAGTTAGGCGGCTGCGGCGGGCTTCTTCAAGGCCTCGCGGGCTGACGACGTCCTCGCCGCCCCCTCACTCTTATCCGCAACTGAGGGGTGCTACATACCTTATTGCAGGAGCCCCGTACAAGTAGACCATGCAATGTAAACTATTCAGTTGTCATAGGTCCATACTGCGAACATTGCAAAGGTGAAACGCAGTGCCTAGCAGCACGGCTGCCAGCAGCACCCCCGCTGCCATCGCCCAAGCTCCCAAGCCGACCGGGAGCACGAGGATCAGCAGGTTCTGGCTCTCCACCGGGTTGACCTTGATCACGTAGCCGTCTGCACTGCCAGCTGTGGCGGCGAGCGTCGTCACGGCCAGCGCTGCTCTGGGCTACAGCGGGGTCGGGCTCCTGCCCGCACGGCGCTCGCCCTTGGCCGCATGGGCCGGCGGCGCCGTGAGCTCAGACGTGTCCGTCGCCATGTTGGTCGAGATGCCGCGCATGGGCTCGTGGCTCTCCCACGGGTACCCGTGGAAGCTATCGGAGGCCCAGCGCCCGAAGCGCTTGACGCGTTGCAGGTCGTCCACGGCGTGGTACATCGCTGTCGCGCCCCCGATGCGGAGGCTGCGCGAGCCGATCTCCTCCTTCCTCAGCCCGGCGGCCAGCCCGGCGATCGTCAGGTAGTGCTGCACCTCCTCACGACGAATAGGTGCTCCGCTCGCCCAGCGGAAGAGCGGGAGCTCCTCCTCGCTCCCTCGCAGCCTCTGCGGGTAGTGCCGCTCCAGCTGGCGGAGGGCTGCCACGGGGCACAGCGACGTGCCCGTCTCGTACTGATTCCTTACGCACCCCACATTGTACTGGTCTGTCTTCGAGGAGGTGATGTGGAGCACCACTTCCACCGCGTCCTTGAAGGTGCAAGGCTGGTTGTTGCCGTCGCGGCCCGTGATGTCCACTCCACGCGCGACGCGCTCTCGGCTCCATGTCTTCCCAGGCTGGATCAAGTACTCGGACGCCCTCAACATGAAGAAGAAGGCCACCGCCACGGCGGCCCACAAGACTGCGGTGTCCATCTCGGGGAGATCCGTCTGGTCCCTCAAGAAGCCCTGGAGCCACAGGAGCATGCGGGGCG